TTCTGACTGAACACTGGTGTGATTAAAACCATTAAAGTGCCATGGTTTTACATCTCGTCGAGCCCGATCTCACAGTGACTGGGGCATTTTGGCCTCTCTTCTGTGTTTGAGGTAGCAGATTAAAGCCGAGTATTAACCACATTCTGGCCACCACAGAGGCGGTCGGAATTCGTTTACATAACACCCACCTGTGAGACCAAGAGCGGTATTGATTTGTTAAGCAATCAATTTGGAAAGGACATCGCATTTCGACAGCACACAGGGAGGACATTGAACAATATTCCATTGAGCTAGTCTGGTCCCTAGCAGAAACACTGTACTCTGCGTCACAATACCCTCTCCGGCACAGCTCATTCTATTCCATAATAGATCTGCTCTCAATGAATCTGTTGGTAGGAAGCCCTAATGTTTAGTATTGATTTCCACACGGAAACTTTTACAGTCTACATCAGTATGTGTGTTGGTCGGATATGGGGCATGAATTAAAAGTGGAAAAAGTGGAGAGCATACTTACACGACGTTTCTCTTTTAGACGATTCTTCTCCACTGAGTGTACCAATTCTCCCGGTGTGTCTCGTTTCCATAGCTTATAGCTGATGAATCCGTATGTACTGCCTTGAATTGCCAAGGGAATCACATACAGCACCAGGAACAGGACCACAGTGTAGATGCTTCGATTGTGTAACTCACCGCTCCATCCCTCCTGGCACACATCAACTCCAGCCTCGGACCGGACTCCAGTTACAACCAGTTGAACAATACTACCAGTCAAAGCGACAAACCATATACAGGCGATTCGGAACCAAGTATGTCGACAAGGATTTGCGGAGCTGAAACGACGCTGTTTCATTGGATCCAGTATACCGGTTAGTCGATTCAAACTGATCACAGTATTGGTCAATGTGGAAGCAGTAACCATAACCAGCTGAGCGTAGACCACGATCGGACAGAGTGCGTGTGTGAATGGCCAATAGCCAAGACATATTTGTGTAAATGTGACTGGTATACAGAACAAACCCATGAGCAAATCCGATACAGCTAGACTGGCCAAATAATAGTTAAATGAAGAGTTAGTGATGGAGCTCACACTGGGACTGACAAACGGGCGGCTAGCATACTGCGTGGTCGTACTGGCATATTGATTATTAAACATGGTCTCCGTATCACGCACGGACAAAGGTCTTGATTTCCCCGTGGACGGAGTGCCGTCCATGTTGGTGGAAGAATCTCCATCACTTTTCGGTCGTCGGACCATCGTGGAGTGTACCCGCCGGATGCGTTTCTGATGCGCACACAGCTTATCCGGATGGCATAGAAATATGATTAGGGCCACTGTGTTGCCACACATGGATAAAATCATGGTGGTAATGTAAATACTGAATACAAATATTGTCGCGAGAATGGAATAATCCAAACAACTTCGAGGAAGCAGTATTGGATAGGAATAGGCAGTCTCTGTGAGATTGGACAGATACTCGTGATACTCCATCCTGACGGGAGCAGCAAAACTAATCCACGTTTAGTTCACTCAAAACACCAGTACACATGAATGTGATTCAATTATCTCTTTCTGTCCTGTGTGCGAATTCGTTCTGGCGCGTATGTATTTTTCTGTATGACAGGAACTTGTGACAAGACACGATCGGTTCTCGAGGCAAAGCTCCACGAGTGTGAGTTTCTCTGCGCTGATTGGTCACTTAATTTGGGGATGCATAGAATGGCGTCCAATCAGATGGCTTCATTTTTCCTGTGATATTATTTGTCAGGATCGGAATTGTTGTGAATGAATTATTTTTTTTGTGCGAACAACACCGAATGAACTTTTTATTTGGCGTGATAAGTGAACGGAGACAACAATTTCCGACAAGAACAGTCCGATCGAGTCGCTGAAACGCGTTTTCTTTAGGATAGCTAAGGTGCATGTTATGCGATTTTGTTGGATTGAACTGATGAGTAAGCTGGTGAGCACATGCAAACGAAGGAACGTGGCTAAACGTGTAATGTAATTGTGAAAACGTTTCCACTGAAAACTTAGCGTTCATTGAAAACAACTAAATCAGGATAACATCCACTAGTCCTTAGGAAACATAATCTATGCTAAGGTCCTCGAATAAAGCTTCCTATTTTCTCTGTTTTTTAATTCAAGGTATCTTTTCGATTATTTATGAAAAGTATGTGAAGTTTAACGTTGTGCGTTATGGTTATCGCATACTTAAACATAGACAATTAGAATGAACTCAGTTTTTTATAGTTTATCATAGCACACGAATACACGGCTTCAAAGAGAAATAAGGATTGAACATAGTCATTGAAAATCATTGAAGGGTAATTGTCCAAACTGCCCCGGGTAAACTCGTATGATGTTAAACTGTCAGAGAATTATTTCAAATGAAAACTTATAAAACAACACGAGGATTGGAGTATAATTATCTCGTTTATTGCCATGCTAAAGCCCCGTAGACAAACACTAAATTTTCTGTAGTTTACTCCGTTTTGAGATGCAGCGGCATTGTCATAGAGATAAATTGTGCAGTATTGCAATATGGTCTTTTTTTAAATTGATCTTGGGAAAGGCTTGCAGTAGTTTTCTGTTAAGATCCTGCTGCTTTGACTTATTAAAGACATAAGGCGCGAGTGGTGGAAAACTTAAGTTAAGTGTACAATGAATTTTGCCAGGTAAGGAGTGCATACATCGTGAACTAAAGCGCTAGAAAGCATTGGACAGCTTTTTTGACTTAAATGGGTTTCCTCAGAAGCAGCGTAATTCAGTCAACGGAACCAAGGGGTCGCACCAGGAACCACACAGGAAATACATAAGCACTGTCCACCGGGCGGACGATCAAACGGATTTTAATTTTACCTTACATGCTAAAACAGCCCATCTTTGAGCATTTATAGCAGTTGTGACATTTGTACCAGCCAGTACCTCGGATTACGATGAGTCCATGGGATATGTTCCATCCCGACTCATTATTACATGAGCCTAACGGAGGATCTAATTCAATTATACAGGTACTGTCGTCGTGTACAGAGAAAATGTGGTGTGGAATGGAAAGCTAAGAAGCACGCGGACTAATAAGCACCACTCGATTTTCTCTTACTACACGCTCGCTTCAGTTATGATTCCGGTTTCCGTTAGACGGCAGTTGTATAATTTCAACAAGATCAGCCGCTTTGGCATTGAATTTTCAGTGCATTTGTCCCGTGATCTGTGTCTTCGTAACGCTTTTTGAAAAAGTTTGATTTATCTGTCTGATTTTGAGGGTCAGTAATGATGAACGGCTGTGTTTTGATCAAGCCCTAAACTTGTTCTGGTTCCTTGAGGAGGAGACATCAACCCGGCTGTTTATCCCGAAACTAGCTTACTCAATTGCTGGGGCAATAAACACTATGCGTACCATTGGGTAATTCAATATTTATCGATGGTGTTTCGTGCATAAGCATACAGATAGATAATATATCCAGGATAGTTTGTTGAATGTTTTCAGGATTTTCGTAGAATTCACTTGGAACATAAATCAGTTAACATATTCGTTTTCTGTGCATTTTACTCACAACTTTTGAAAATATTAGGTCATTATTTACATAACGGGGATTAATAAAAGAAAGCAGAAAATAATTAAAACTTACGGAACATCTTAATCCAGAACGGATATCAGGAGTGCTTGGTAGAATCTTTAGTTCAAACAGGACCAATTCTGTGTAAATCAATTTGTTATTTAATGTTGATACGTTCGCAGAAATTGATCAACGGATCGAACGTTCTACGTAGCTACGCGTTAAACCAAAATCACATATAGTCCGCCAGGTTATCAGCATTTACAGGACAGAAGGCCCGATTCTGCTGCCTCTTTTTGTACTTATTATTTCAATTGTTCCGATGGTGAAGCAAACGTCGGCCGCAGGATACGCAATCAGATATAGGGGTCCAGTTTGTAAACCTTTACGCGCAGCTGTCAGACTTGCGTTCCTGATCTTGGTTGGCAGCAGGACAACTTACATCTGCTCCAGTGAATACTTGTTATGCATATCAGAGTACTATATCACCGAATAAAGGATTGATCAAGGAACAACATACAAAAAAGCTAAGAGAGAAGTGCTAAGAGAAACGGAGGTCATTATAATGAAAATAGCAAAGAGATCCGGTTGTGGGATACGTAATAAATCAAACTACAGCGGGAAGATTGCAGTGATTCTAAACGAAGGATCAAAATTCACAAAAGCATACCGAGAAAGTGACAGTACAGTTCAAATAGAAAAAGCCCTTTCGACGACTTTAGGAACGTTGAAACAAAGGTCTCTATAGATAACGCCACATCTGAACGGTTTCGTACAACAGGCACAGCGATTTCACGTTGTATGGGCTTCCCAAAGTACGTAAAAGTGATGTTCTCCTCTAACCGTTCCTGGACATCCGCAACTCCCCTCACGATACATTTACTGAAAGGTTGGCTCGTCTCCTGGATCCGGTGAGAATGACGGCGACTCGGTAAAGCGTTAAGGACATATTCGGTCTCATTGACGTCTTGTGTTCCTTAAATATAAAAGGCTGTCACACATGTTCGCTAGTTGTCACGACCCTCCCCACGAATGTTCCGATTGTAAAGACAATTGATTACCTATGAGGTTAGATTGAAAGCAACGAGATTAATGGAGGCCTACCGACAGATAATCTAAAACAATTGTTATTTTTCTGCACTCAAAACGTGCATTTCAAGATTAACGAGTAAGTCAATCGCCAGAAAAACCGTAAAGTTGTGCGATCCTGGCTCTGGCTCCTTGTTTTTTGATATGTTTAGGTCTAAAACGAAAGCAATCAGCCTAAATTGTATGCCGAACAATATGCACTGTACAAAAGGTAAGTAGAAGACAGTTTATGCTCGGTCGATTCCACAACAGAGAGAGAGAGAGTCAGCATCTATTTATCACTTCTATATTTCATATCGCAACTTGAAATCCACAATGGAACATGAAGCAAACATTAGGCTAGCACAGCTGGATGTTTGCCCAACTCGTCGTGATGATGGGTTGATTAAACGATCAGCTCACAGGAAGTCAAAGTGAAAAAGGGCAATAGCTTTGTATCACGTAGCATAAAGGAAACCGCATACTCTCTTAGGCCAACACAGCGAGAAGGATCTGTACAGAGGGCGTGCTGGTTGATGAACCCGGAGCACCTGGTGAAATCTGTGATGCTAAGACATGAGGAATTCCCAAAAAAGTCATTGGTGATAATATTTCTGTTTACATCTCTTCACCACTTAAAGGCGATACCTAAGCATAGATTGTGTAAAGAAGGTTAGCAGACGCCATAAATAAAACAATCTGCGCAACCAAGCTGCATACCCGATTCACCTCTATTTCGCTAGTGGATCTTCGGTTGAAGGATAGAACACACGATTCTGCTGTTCTTTCTGTGTTTTCACATTCACTTGGTCCATTCTGAGTGGTTGAGAGATGAAGCAATTAGGACAATTTTAAATGCGGTTGTGTAGCACCCGATTGGCATGAACCAAACGGTAAATGTGAGNACGGTCCAGACACTAGGGATTTTCCTGCAATTAGGGCTGTCAGGTTTTAGCTTTGCAAACCCCTCTGTGTGATCATATTTAATTTGCGCAAGCATTCAAGCTTCCATGACCGAACCACCATGAAGAAACCGAGCAAACAGTAATTGACTCTTATCCAAGTTCGGTCTTTCATATTGAAATGGGAAGAGATTATAATGCTAACTTAATTATTTTTCAACAGGTATATATATATCTATGTATACATATATATATCTACTATGCTTTAATAGCATGATTGAGATTAACTGACAATGCAGTGCTATGCCGCTTTGTGGTCCCGAAATGTGTTCTCTCAGCAAAACCTTTACCACCTCACATATTTTTGTTTTAAGACAAAATCACGTTTAATATTCACTTTACGTGAAACAGACTACAGCGGAATTCTCGCTAATAGATGAACGTGCGCGCCTCTGGTAGAACTATTACCGCGTTCTTTCTTCGTTGTTCTAATTGGTTGATCCACGGAGTAGGAACAAAACACACTTCTCTATCGTTTGCATCTTGAATTTCTTCTCTCGCAGACTGGTGATTGCGCACGAGGCATTGGGTAATGTGCCCATGCTCATGCAATTCTGAGGCCAGTGAAGAACCCAGAAAAAACGGGAATGATGCTTTGATTCGTACTGTAAGGAAGTACGGAAAGATAAACTCGCGACTTTGGCGAGACAGCTGAATGTGTTTCTATGCGTTACATGCGAATGTGATCAGTAAGGCTAGTGATGAGTTCTAACTATGTCTACCGTCTGACTTGATAAGTGAACACACACACACACATATATATATATATATATATATCTGAGGTTCGATCACCGCCACCGCCACCCAAGTTTGGTGGGAGACAGTTTTACTGTCACCCGGTTCTATACCACACCTAACCTATTGGGGCCTTATGCGGTTCGCCACTTCAAGTCCAGGGGAT